ATGTCGGGGGTTTAAGTGGAGAGAAAATGTTTTGAGAATGATGTACAAATGCGCTTTACACAATTGATGTGTGTATGGATTGGGATAACAGGTGTATGAGCCCCTAATAAAATGTTTTTAAAAAAAAGAACTCGTCCTGCGCCCGGCCCTGGACTCCAGACATGGTGGAAAGGACCATATACTGTAATACTCACTATCCCATCAGCAGTCAAACTGGTATAACTGATGTGGGGGTATCATCTGACACGGGTCAAGCAAACACCCCTAGAACCCAGACCCACTTAAAACAAGTAAACTTCTAACCTCATCGGTCTAACTTCACCCAGCCTAACTAAAACTGCCCCCTAAATAATTTCAGTATGCCTCCTCCTCTTTTTATTTTTTACCCCTTATTATATGTTTTTGGAATAAGCCTTGCAGCAACCGCTCCAGTCAATTGAACCACCGGTCAAAAGGTCTGTTTGGGGCTCAGTTATGTTGCGATTTGTTCCTGTTTTTTCCTCTTGGAGTGTTGGCTTCCATAAACACGGAAATGCAGTCACCCCACCGCCAATGGCAGTTCATAGTTACCGAAACCTGGGCTAATAATTCGGGAACCCACTCGCAGGTTATAGGCAAAAAACATTGTCAAACTTAAGGCTGCCAATCTCGTGTCGGTTCCTGTAAAACCTTTCACTGCACTCCCCCAATATTGTCCCAACTCTCCTTTGGTTCCTGTGTGACCAAACCAAATCCAGCGGTTACAGCACTAAATGGGTAAAAGAAAATAGAAGTTGCCCACGGAATTCCTGCGTGATGCACAAATACCAAATGGATCTGGAAGGAAAGCAGAGACAAAAGTATCGTCTCACCGGTAACCATCATAACGGTACTTTTTGGATCAACATCCCTGACCCACAGGACACTCACTGGCAAAAAGGTGTCCCAGAAAAAATCTACTGGTATCTGGGTTCCTCTTACCCTTATCTATCTATCCATCCATCCATCTATCTATCTATCTCGTACTTACACACACACTGGCTGGCTGATCAAACCCGGCTAATTCAAAACGCCCAACAAGAACTTCAAAAACAGGTTACAGGACAGAAGTCCAAGGAAAAACCTTTTTCTTGGCTCACCGTTATCCAAAAAGGGGCAGCCCTTCTTAACAATTCTAAGCTGGTTACTCTTTCCTCTTGTTTCCTTTGTGCTGCCCTCCATAGGTCTCCTCTGGCAGCAGTACCTTTACCTCGACTGTTTAACAACACGGAAAAAGATGCCTTTCCACCAGTTATTAAAGTTCCCCTGTTCCACAACCCACTGCTAAAAATGGCCAGTTTTGGTATTCCAAACCGGAACAAGGTTGTAACAACACCGCAAGTAACCTCACTTTCCCCCTCAATGCCCCCCAGGTGAATTCTTTTGGTGCAATGGCACCCTGACAAAAAAACCTTTCCACTCCTTCCCCATCCCATCTATGCATGCCGGTCACCCTGGTTCCCCAGCTAACTATGTACACAGTCCCTGGGGTCAACGGTCTGCAAAATCCCTCCTCTGGCACCGCCAGACACACACGGGCAGTGTTCCTCCCGGTCATGGTTGGTTTAGCGGTAGCCTCTTCCTTGATTGGCTCAGAAATGGGGGCAGGAGCCCTATCTCATTCTCTGAGCTCTTCACAGAGCTGGTCCTCCAAACTGCAAGCGGCAATTAAAAACACTACATTATCTTTAAATCGCTTACAGCACCAAATAGCATCCCTAGCCCAAGGAGCCTTACAAAACAGAAAGCCCTAGACCTCTTAACGGCCGATAAAGGGGGAACATGTATATTCCTGAATAAGAAGTGTTGCTATTATGTTAACGAATCCGGGTTGGTGGAAACCAGTATAAACAAACTTCGTAAGTTGGAAAAAACTATCTGGTGAGGCCCCCGGCGTCTTACAAGGAGGTTGGTGGTCTGATCCATTCATCGGTTGGGTTGCTCCCTTAATCACCCCTCTTATAACCATCTGCGCTCTGCTACTTCTGGCGCCCTGTTTGCTGAACTTTCTTCACAACCGATGCAAAAAATTTCTTGTGTTGCCATTAATCAAATGTTATTGCACCCTTACAGTCCTCTCCCACAGGAGCCAGACATTCCCAACCCGTAAGCCCTCCACGCCGTCCAGTACCCGCAGGAAGTAGCCAGAAGAGTCATCGCCCATATGACCAAGCAGTTGGGAATGTATGGCGGGATCAATGCCAGGCTGGCTGCTAGCAGCAAGTGACCTTAAGTCTCCCCCACCCGTGCGGAGCTGACCAGAGCTCGCTGAAACAACTAGCAGCCAGTGGCCTTGAATCTCCCACACACACCTGCGGAGCTGACCAGAGCTGGCTAATGGCCCGCTTTGTTCTCGACCTGCTGCTCTGCACCCGGCACCGGCAGGGCCGGTTT